CAAGAAACTGGAATTATTCAAGAAATAGCTTGCTCCTGTAACAGGAGGATAGTTGAGAGGGTATTCTGGAAGGATGAGATCAAATGGGCCTGAGCCCATCTGAACCGCACTTGTAATCTTGGTAACAGCTATGATATCATCCAACAATCTTGCAGGTGATATGTTTCATAGAATCCTTAAGGAAAGCAGAGGCTTTGATTCATAGCTTCAGAAGCTCTATATGCAGAGGATATTGAGCTGAGAATTGGAGGATAGTAAATAACAATAATCCTTGCATTTGATATAGCCCTTATCAGACATTGAGACGTCTCAAAGCGCTTCACAATATTATGTAAAGTGGATTGACTGTGTATTTTGTGGGCGAAACTTCACTTCAACACTGAAACAAAATTGAGATGACTGAATTGAGGAATTGTTACCCTAACATAAATTGTAAATAAGAAATATTAAGAATTTTTTACTGGATGTCAGCAATATTCAGCTGGAGTATTTGTCATGGTTTTAGAAGGAATTTGGTTCATGCTTCACAATTCTCCTGAATTTCAAGGAGGAACTAACTCATTTAATGGATAAATGGTACAACAACAACAAGATTACACTTCTATAGCTTATAAGTGGTAGCTTATTTGATATAATGTGCTTGATTTGCCAGAAGCCTTTTAGAAAAAAAGTGGGAGATTGGAACCTGACTCATGACATTCTGTACAGGATTGCTCTGGACAGCTCCCACCCTTCTCCACTGTTCAAATGATTTCTAAATTTGACTATTTCTAGTAAAAATAATATTTTCTAACGATTTTAGCATTTGAAGGTTAACATTTCTCATTGTTTTAGCATTGTCTCAAAATTTAAGATTGTGTAAATTTTGGAAAATTCTTCAATTCAGTTTTAATTTATCATATAATATACCCAGCAAACATTTTGCTTACTGGACATTGGGTATCTGGAATTTGCACCTAGTTGGATCAAAACCTAAATTAATTTTTAAAAAAATCTGTGGACCAAAAATTTCTGTGGGCTCACTTGTAGACTGTAGCCAGCCCAACTCTCTTTGGTGCGCCTCACCCAAAGAGCTGAGCAGCCTCACCATCCTTGCTGACTTTCCTAGTGGCCAGGAATATCGACCTTGACTCAGATTGTTTGAATCCCATGAGCAGAAGAATTGCAAACAATTACAATGCCAGTACCAACAACGTAGCTGGAAATTCCAGCTCTCTAAATCAAAACTCCCCCCGCGCCCCGGTTGGTCTGTCCAGCCAGGGTTTAAGTCTACATGAAAACATATTATAACTTGGTTGCAGAGTGGGACCTCATTCACTGTACATGGTACGCGAGCAGGAAGCAGAAAGCCCAGTTGTACGCATATGCAGTAAATAGGATCCACACAACAACCATGTTATAATTGAATAAGCGCTATAATAATAATAATAATAATAATCCTTGCATTTGATATAGCGCTTTTCACGTCTTCTGGACGTCTCAAAGCACTTCAAACAAAGTGGATTATAACGGTTGTACTGTGTAACGTACAAAATGTTCATAAGATGTGTACAGCTTCTGAAAACGTTTACCTTGTTCGGTTGGACAAAAATAATTGTTAGCAATGTGACCTTTCACCATTAATATGAATAAGAAAGGCTGAGATGTTCTTCAGTTATTTTTTCTTCATTCTCGATCTGGGATATAGCTAACAGTGGACATCTTATTGTAGGAACTCTATTAAGTTAGAAGTACCTTAAGGCAGAAGTCTCTCAAATGCACTGACAAAATGTCATTCTTGCTGAATCTGCCTTAACTGAATACCAATTTATGACACATTATTAAATGAAACAAAGTGAATACAAGTCAATAACCAGACATTTATGCCCTATCCCCACTACCAAATTTCTGGTAAAAAAAAGTTCATAACTTTTATAACAGATGAATAGGATAGGGTTCTGATTGCCGAGAAGAAATCTACAAATTGTATTTTAAGGAAAGAACTTCCCGACATAAAAACAATTTGTTCCATAATTTACAATTATACATATAGGACATGGAACAATTTGTTCCATATCTATACAAAGTATGTCAGCTGTTATCAACTCTCTCCTGAAATCCCTCTGGGTCATCTCACCTCCACCTACTTATAAAACCGATCTAAAGATCGATTGCTGACTTACTCCTCCCAGCTTGAGGTGCCACACAGTCTTTGCAAAGCATTGCAGACCTTCTCCCTATGTAAAAGGTGCTATATCAATGCAGATTGTTTTTGTTGTACTTTACAATGTTATCAAACCCATTTTTGGTTTTAATTTCTTAGCATTATCTGAAAGTTCAATTTATCTAACTCATGTGACCCCCAGTGCATTGAGGTAATAGCCTGGCTCAGTTGGTAGCTTTCTTGACTTTTGAGTCAGAAAGTTTATGGGTTCAAGTCCATGTGCGGACTTTGAGTTCACAGTCCACACTGATACTCGATGCAACGCTGGAGGTATTGTCCTTCAGATGAGACATTAACTTGAGGTTCAGGTAGACCCCATTCAATTACTTTATTCTAAAAGAAGGGATTTTCCCTGAGTATCATTACCAAACAATCATCCAGAAAAATATTGATCTTAGGCCATTTTTGGGACATTGTACAGAAATTTGCTGGTATCAATTTGGCTACACTTAACAGAAGCACTTTGAAGCGTTTCATCATGAAAAGGCGCTGTATCAATTGCAAAGATTATATCAATTGGAAAGATTATTTCTTATTATTTGCATCCAATGCTTCCTGTTTCCTAGAAATGACCAGATGTGTTTTTTTTTACATTATGTACAAGTTTCATGTGAAGATACACTACTTGAATCATAAATAATTAGATGAACAATGTTTGTGCCACAAAGTTGATGCAGTGACACATAGTTGCAGCATAAATAACTAACTGCAATGCCACACCCGTTCTCCCTCTTTGCCCTCTTCTCAGCAAATCAGTTCTCAGTAACTCATCCAAACACAAACTTCAGAATGCCTTAAAGAAATATGTATACATAAACCTGATCACATAACACTATCAGTGCATTGTCAGAAGGGTGTGTGTGAAATGACATTTTTGCTTAAGCAACAATTTAATCACACTCTTTTCCTTTTGTACAAGCAGAATAGATTTTAGCAACCACATGCTTTACTAACAATAAATCATTTTTGTCAGTTAAATCAGTTCCAATGCCTGTAGCGTATAAATGTATATATTCACCAACCCATGTCCTGCTAAACTTAAACCCAGATGACAATTCATTGAATTAAATGGAGGATGCATTAGCACTAAGAGGTTTGAGTTCACATAGCTGCCGACGCTATTATTATCTTGCAGAATAATCAAATTATTCTGCAAGAGGTTTTATTTTACATTTAACTTGTTTTTATAAGACAAAGAAGTAATTCCTGCTGATCTACAGTTGTTTTTATTTGTGCAATGTTCAATTATTAAACTTTGTGATTCATTGCATGTATAGGTAATTTTTCAAACTCTCCACATTACTGAACATTATTTCCTACTCAAAAACATGGACTAGTCTAAAGCAGGTGCATTCGTTCATATACAAGTATTAGTAAAGTTTCCTCTTGAATTCAATCCTTGTTTGGAGGTAAAATTATCATATTGTCTAAACTATTCTGCTTCTGGATCTCACAAACTTACCACAGCTTGTCATTTTATACGGGGTCTAATTTCAGAAATTAAAGTTCCAAGGAAGAAGCAAGAGTAAGAAAAGAAAAAAAAGTGTATTTATAGACAATACTGCTAAGCAAATTTTACAAGACAAACCATCCAAAGATTCAAGTCTCTTAGCCTGCTTCAAACAGTAGATCATTGACATGGTATATATCATTAAATTTTGATAAGGCTGATTGGCAAAATCAAAATCACAAGATTATTTTTTAAACCTGTTGTAAGCCTGTTGTATTTCATATCCAGCGTCTGATATCTAGTAGATTAGGTTGCCGTTTAATATCCCAGCTGACAGGTAGGAATCTTATACAGACCTGCTAACGGCTATCTTGACTGCCACTACTAATTACAAGCTTGTGTTGAGGTCAAATCCAACACGATAGGTTTCTGGTCAATGTGAGTTTAACTGCCTGATCCATTGCTCATTCTATAATATGGTTTCTGACAGTGATGCAGAGCTGGAGGTGCTAACAATCCAATGCTCTGTTTTTATGGACAAGCTTTATCTTCGTACTTCTCAAGGAGAGTGTAGGCACTTGTGCAATGCACATGCGCATGTTTGGAAAATATAACATTGTGCAAGGACATTTGACTCATTGTGTATGCGCAAATCCTTGCAGTTTAGTTTTCAATTACCTCTTCCAAAATAATAGAAGCACAGGCCAGGAGATGCATCTGAAATTCAGGCAACTTTGCTGCCGGCCTGAGCTTTTATTTATTTTTTAAAAAGAGTCTGCAGACGTTAATTTAGTCGCAGTGAATGGAAGCGTATACCTCTACAGATCTTGCACTTATGTGCAATGCCTCATCGTCACATAGCCTTTCATTCCGGCGTGACCCCTTTTCATTCTGGAAATGGAGGCAGCAAGATAACTGATTCCAAAATGAGTCCAGTGACGTTCAGTACTTGAAAATTCGGCTGATGTTCATTACAATTGCCAGCAGAGGCAGGCTTGATTCTGAAGTTGTACGTGTAAAACGCAGGGTAAAATCACATCCTAAAAAAGTTTATTAGTTGCAAATCTGAGAGTCAAATTGAAAATTCGAATCCCTTCAAGCTTCTTTGCAGCACGTTTGACCTGAAAACATGCTGAGCATTCCAATAAATATTCTGAAACCAGTTCAACACCTTCATTCCACAACCATCAAAGAAATTGTGTGGGAGATTTTCTGTCGTTTCCAACAAGTAAAGCCAATGTTGTCCTTTACAAGTGCATTACTATTCAGCAAGATGCAACCAAGAAATCAATGTTAAACCAGAATTTGCTTACTGCATGCTAGATGTTTCAACTGTAGAATGCTTACCACTTGCCCATTCTGTGGGTTCTTATGGGCATACGGAGGGCCTCGAATATGATTCCACATTTGTCCAGAAGTCATAGCAAACACCACACACTGTAAGAAAATAAGTATGTAAGAAAATATTTACTTCACAACAATCTGTATTTACATAGCGATCTTTAAACAAGGCACCATCTCAAAGCACTGAAGAATGACGCTGAGCTGGAGAGAAAGGGGAGGTAACCATAACGGTTGAAGAGGAAAGGCTTCAGGTGTGACATGAGGGTTATGAGGGTGATCTACAAAAATGTAATATTTCAAATTTGTTTCTTTTTTAAAATAGCCCAACACAACCTTCCTCTACATTAGAGACAATGATTTAATGTCTCATTTTAAAGGTTACATTTCCACACAATGTAATATAATCATTCTATAATTGTGCAGTATAAGATATAATTAGCTTGTAGAACTAAACTACCATAAATTGGAAACTTGACGATTAAAACGGTTACAAAACTCCAAGCATAAGTTTATGAATTAGAGACCTAATGATGACCAACTCCAACCCTATTTGGATATGCTTTAAACTCATCTAACATGCACCAGTAAATCCAAGCAAGGAAGGTAAACCCTGTACCACCAAAATATGTTGGATGTTAATCTGGATAATCTGAGAAGAGGACCCTGGGCCCACCCTTCTGAATGTGTGTGTATATTTGCACAAGTGCTGAAGATGGAGGGAGACACAACATGCCCCTCAATAGCAAAGGGTTTAACATTTCCTATGAATATTCTTAACATTTGCTGTCACTAATCTCTCCAAGACTTGGAAGAGCACTTCTACTTCTAGGTTAGAAATTCGAAAATTCACAAAATAACTTGGGAGACATACCAGGGCAGCCATTGCCCATCCAGTCTTGTTGTAGATGAATTCAAGGTTATTCCTGCGTAGATACAATAATCCACCAACTAGAGAAACGAGGAGCGCCAGAGCAATGGTACCCGAGTAGTTAGGAGGTCTGAAGACACGAATCTGGAAAAAAGTAAATGTGCAAATCTCAGTTTTTTTTATGGTTTTATGGTTTGCAAGTTAAATACAGTCCCAATTCACAGAAAACTGTGTTAGTTATAATAAATTCATATCAAAGCCTGCTACATTTGGAAAATGCAGATACAGGACTGAAAAAGCACTTTGCAGCAAACTGTTTTCTGCAGGGAACACCCTGTACATCAAGCCAACTGTCAAGATCGTGGCTCCGTCCTGAGATCACCGCAGGGTTTTGCGAGTCGATTTTGCCATAAAATGTTTTCCTGTATAATACCCAATTTAGGATACAAGGTATTTTTTCCACAGCAGTATGCTGGGTACTACTTTTTCTAGGAGAGCTTTTTCATCCCAACTGAAATATAATCAATTACACCAAAGAGTCTTGGGTAATGAGGAGGAGCTGAACAACAAGCAGATGACATTTATGAATAAATAAACATTAGCAGTAAATTCTAAGTAATGCAGTGCTTACTATCTGATGCACAGGAATAAACATTAGTTGAACTTCTGTCTGGTTTTAAGGAGTTTTTTTCAAGTATCTTACATGCACATCAGTTCTGTCAGCTATCCACTTTGCAAGCTGTTCAGCTGCAAATCCGATTCGCTGCAGGTCAAAGGTGTCAGCTCTCTTGGGCTTGCCTTTTGGTGGAAAATGCATGAAGGTAGGGGCGGAGTTCATGTTCAACTGCAAGAGAGAAAAATGTCACCAGCAAATGTTAATTAAGACTTTCCAACTTTCTGCATGCCAAACAGTATTCCGTCTTTCATTTTAAATCTTCATCTCTGCCTCATAACAATCTGCTTGCCATATAAGTCAAGCTGTTGTTGACCAGATGGCACATCACAAACTCATGATGTTTATATAAATGATTTTTTTCATGAGTGGGGGGGTGGGGGAATTATAAAAAAAACATAGCGATTCCTGATTGGATAACATTTAATATTTCTTAAAAATCACTCTTCAAATGAAGTAAAATCCGACTTCAGCAGAATGAAGTGAGCAAATGAAAAGGCAGACTTTAAATTTCTGAACACAGTCTACGTAGGGGAAAAATGCCGGCGAGATTGGATTGTCTAATTATAGCCCAAACTACTGCTTGATGCAGCTGCAAATTTCAAATGAACATTAGTTGGACTGTGTACTTTACACTGTGGGGGTCAGCCTGTTTCAGTTGGTCACACTCTCGTCTTTGAGTCAGAAAGTTGCAGGATCATACCACGTGTTGGGACTTTGAACTCATATAAAAAATCTAAATTGACACTCCAATGCAATATTGTGGGTGTGCTGCAGTGCTGGAGGTACCATCCTCCAAGTGAGGCATTAAACCGAGTTCCCATCTACCTATTGAGGTGGATGCTAAAGATCCCATGGCACTATTAGAAGAAAGGGAGTTTCTTTTAAAGTTCTGGCCAACAATCCCTAAATAAAATTGAACATTCATGCCATGGTACGTTCATTTCTCAAGTTGGTTTCTCAATTGCAGGCTCATTCTACCAAATGCATCTTTCCGGCCTGAGCCAGCACAGCCAACCGATCGTAAAACCCACTGAGTCACTCTGGGTGTCAGGCCAAATCTGATGAGTTTATCCCAATGCCTCAAAGAAACTACAGGATAGCAAATAAGCTCCAAACATACCACAAAAACACGAGACTTTAAAATAGCACTCAGAGATCAGAGCAAAACTTAAAAAAAGACATCAAACTACTGTAACTCCATGAGGGAGAGACCATCACCTTCAAGTGCTCTGACACGCTACACTGCATTGTATACATACAAGTTGTTGTTGTTAAACCTGAGCAGCCTGGTAAATAGCAAATACAGGTGGCCGTGGGAGTAGTAATACAGGGTGAGGAAGCTGAGTTTGTTCTAATGTAAAACAAAAGACCTTGAAATCTCCAATATACCTTTTTGAAAGGATGAAGACTGATAAAGGCAATCAAGATGAATAGTTCACAGTGAAGATAGTTTCAAAAATGAGGTAACCTTTTAAAAACTAGAACTAAATAAGGAAATCTGGTAGATTTGAAGCAAATAGTACAAATGGTTCAAGAAACAACAGATGGGTTCTGGAAAATGGAATGGATAGATATAATAAGGTAAGCAGGTGAATCTTGGATCACTCAAACAAGGGAAAGACTTCTGAAGTCAAATGGCGTTTTCTTATTTTTTAAATTTCCTAAATCGTTATGTAATTTTAAAGCACTTTTCATGAGTTCTACCTTAATGAGATTGTTGTTGGATTGTGTACTAATGCACATGAATAAATTACAAGACAGGTTTGGTTGAAGAAGGCCCTTCAGCTCTCCTGAGGTCTTCAAAATACTAATGCACATGAATAAATGCTGAGATCTTCAAAATTCTGGAAGGGTTTGAGAGGACAGAGAGTAGGAGATTATTCTTTCTGTTGGTGAATCGGTAAGAAGCATAAACATCGGATCGTCACTGAAAGAATTAATATTGGATGTTATGCAATAGGTTATTAGAACATGAAATGTTTTGCCACAATTAGTTATTTAGGCTGAGACTATAACATTAAAGAGGAACAATAAGCCAGAAGAAAAACCTCCACATTTGTTTTGAAATAGCAGCTGAGAGGAACCACCTGAATCATAAAGCAGAATAACTATCTTATTTGAACATTGCATCTTACAGAAGCCAAAATATACAGATTTCTGGTCAAAACATGTTTCAATCCTGGCAGTATTTTATTTGCCTCCTTATGGCCCTCGTGCATAACGTCATCACATTTATTTGCCACATGGACAGTTTCAGCCTAGTCAGATGCAAATTAATATTTAATGCTGTTACCTTCTCCTTTGGTCCTAATACATCAACCGACATCCGATCAATAAACCTCATTGAGTCAGTTACAAAAGCTTTGAAAATTCTCAATTATTTTTCAATTATTGTAAAATCATGACAATAAAACATAAACATCCGAGACCTAAGCTTTATTTAAAGATGCAATAAATGGCCTTGTTATTTCCTGTAAACACAAAAGCACTGTTGACTGGGATCATTGTTTTTCTTCGGATAACTTTTTTTCGGGTAATATTGTTTGAAGTAATTGGTGATCTCTATTCTATCTATTTGTCTATTTGTCCCACAAAGCAGATAGGTTTTCCATTGTGTATACACAGCCACACATACAAACACATGCATATAGTCAACCGTGATAGGTTCAAATTGAATCTAATCCTAATTTATTACTCGTGTACTGTAGTAAGAGCTGGAATAGTCATGTGCATTATGTCCTAATATTGCAATGCTTGGATTGCTGCAATTGTTTTTTCAGGTCCTGTACATTCCTCTGTTCTCATGTTCCAATGAAATGACAAGGTTCACTGTATATGTTCCAATTTTTTTTTGCTTTTATATGCATCAAAACCATCAGTATTTCTTACACATTCTTCATCCCTAGAGCTGTTCACAGCTGAAGGAAGTGGTGGAGACTATCACTGAAGCATTTTGCTAGGTGAAGCTGCTGAATGTGCCTCGGAGGCTAAAATGCACACGGAGCAGTTTGACTGACAAAAGAAATACAGCTACCACCTTATAACCTTATATGGTGAAAAAAACAGAAAGAAGATAGGTGATGGAGACATTTTTGGGATGCACCAGGACTATTCTCAATAGATAAATCACCGGAACAGCCCAGCATTGTGGAGAAGGGTCCAAACATCGCACCAAATCTGACAATTCCCCACGACAGATAAAATATATATTATTGAAACTGGTTCCACAGATCGAGAGGTACTTCGAACAGATTTCCCACCCCTTTTAAGACATCCAAACAGATGTTAAATAAAATGATTTGAATCTACAGCTGAAGCCAGCAGAATCAGGGCAACTGACAAATGCAAATAAACAAGAATTACAGGCTCTGAGTCTAATCGGAGGTATATGGAAGATTACTATTCAATGAAACAGTATTTTTCAAATCAAATCAAACCTGTCCATAACTCAACATCAGAAAATGAGATGCTCGTTGTGCAAAAACTTTACAATGTACCTAAAGTACTGAGAAATGCAAAGAACTGCAGAAAATGAATCAGAGACTTTAAAGGCTAAATTAAAAAACATACAATAAGAACTTCTTCAGGGAACAAATACAGCCACATGTTCCTGAAAATATAAATGTTTTAACCTGTTTAATTGAATCCAATGGAGAAGTGAAAAAACATGTTACTGAAGTAATCTGATCCTGGAAAGATTTGTTTTGATTAGCCCACTGTCTGATAAGAGTTATAAATATTTAACATCATTCATTAATTGGTTCATGGCTGTGAAGGGCAAGTTTTAGACAGACAGTGGGTAATTAACAGCCAGAATAGATTAACAATGAGATTTATTGTTAAAAAATAACAATACCAAGAAACAAAACCACAGCTTTATGTTGTAATAAAAGGAAGGCAGTGTTGGAAGGATAAGATCAAATGGACTATGTGAGACGATCCCTCAACCTAACATCTTGTAATAATGTATTGGTATTGGTGCTTTTGATCTCCTGCTTCCCCCCTGCCCTCCACCCTCCCCTACCCCGAGCCCCTGCTCGGATTCGTAACTCTGTATGTCCAGCGCCTTGGGACGTCTTCCCGACGTGAAAGGCGCTTTACAAATGTAATTTTGTTGTTGTTGGTATTAGCTCTTTTAACTCTTGATGCAAGATGTCAATTCTCAGCCAATCTCCTAACCTTAGACTGTATAGAAATAACAATCCTTCCATTTAATATAGAACCTGGGCATCTTGTTTGACCTTCGACTATCCTTTCTACCCTATATCTATGCTATGACCCGCTCTGCCTTCCCCCACTACTGCAACATCGCCCACCTCTGCCTCTCTTCTAAGGCCACCAAAACCCTCATTCGTGCATTCATTATATCTAGCCTTTACTACACCAACTCCTTGCTTGTCAGCCTTCCCAATTTTTCCCTCCACAACCTGCATATCATTCAGAACTCTGCAGCTCATGTCTTCTCCTGTGATTGAAGGGGGGTAAATTCAGAACAAATCTGTGGAAACAGTGAGCAAATAGTATACTTATGGAATAGGCTCTCTAGGGAAACAGTGGAAGCAGAAAACTTTGCTTTTGACAACAAATTAAATTGATTTCTGTTAAAAGTATATGGTTTGGGACAGGACATGTCAAAGGACTGCTGCCAGGATAATAATAATCCTTGCATTTGATATACTGCCTTATCACGTCTTCGAGACATCCCAAAGTACTTCACAGAATATACTGTAAAGTGAATTGACTTTCGATTTTGTGGGCAAAGGTGGTGGTGGAAGAATGGTGGAAGGTGAACTAGATGGACCTTGGTCTTCTTTCACCTAGCAAATTTTTATGTTCTTATGTCTCATCTGAAGCACTGCACGAATGGAACACATTGCAATCAGATATAGTAAAACATATTTGGATTTCTGCTTTTTTTAAAAAAACCTTATTTATTTTCTCAGTTAATCAACCAGTAAAAGTTTGCTGTCATCCTAAAATAAAGCACCACCCGCCTCAGAATCTCATCTGGGTCACTTTGTACATTCAGGCACACCAGCAGTTTTCCCTGGACATTACTGAAAGTTAAATCCAAGAACAAAACAGATGGTGCTGAAGGCCTAGTGATGTATCAGCAACATACTGTGCCATAGAGCTTTAATATGCAGGTTCACGGCTGTGATTCCCATCAGTGAGTTCCAGCAGTCTGACAGGCTGTGAGGGGGAGGCACAGAAAAAAGATGATACATCCCTATAGGGCAAGAGGATTGAAAGTTTTCCAATGCAGTACTTCTTAAAAGACTATCCAAATGGTAGCGTCTTAGCAACTGGTCATCCACTTCCTTTAATCAGTGTGTGCTACATTATTAAGGTGCATCCAAGGACAGGGAGATTTGGTTTCCAATATGAAAAAAAAGCAAAAAAAAAGAAGTGTAAATTAAATGCAATCAGTGTTGAATTCTCTTTTTTTAATGTGCAGCTTCAAACCTGGTCCTAATTATTTTTATATTTTTTATTTTGCTGATGTTGTAGTTTTAGGTGCAGTATTCTGAAATCTAACATCTAACTGTTAAAGCACATCAAATGATATGACATAATATATTTTTCAGTCTTCTTTTCATGAACATTTCCTTTCCCCAGAGTTCTTCTAAGAGTGTTTTTTCTGAGATTGATATTGGATAGTGAGATTCTACTTATGTTCTGTATCAACCAAAAATAAGCTATTCAGTTCTCATCTCTGGAACAACTTGTAGCTTGGGGTTGAAATTCCTCTCCTTCTCATTTGTTGTTCCTCTGATCCACAACAGCAATCAAATTAATATTGAGATCAGGTTTACGGCTATCTATCATCTGTTCTTCACATCAAATATCCAGCACTCTTCCTGGAGTTTGGAGAGTACCTATTAAGAACTGCACTGAATCAGTGCCAGCTTTACAAATCCAATTGGAAACTGTTGTATTTGATTTGAGCTGGAGAGTGTCGGTTTTGTTCACTGGAATTCCTTCTTCGATAATGCTCTCACCTCCTCAATTTTGTCCAGCAAAGCTGGTTTACTGTACACAGTCAAGCAATGCATGGCGCATTTTGCTTGCTAGCAGTGAATGTGTGTCAAAGGTTGGAGGCACCATCTTCTTAAAGAGGATTCACCCAGAATCAACAGCTATCGGGGTCACAGCCGTACAGTAACATGGAACAGTTAAAAGCGTTCTGGGAAATTACCCTTTGGGAGCCAGTGATAATCTTGCACTTCTCTTCGCGTTGAGCCAATAAAATGTTGTAGAGCAATAGAGCAACAGACAAGACCGAGCTATGCTCTGCTTTAAAAAGCCGAGTAATTTACTTATTGCGAGATAGGAAAAAGTGTCCTGAGTAACTAATTGTAATAATAATAACAATAATCCTTGCATTTGATATAGCGCTTTTCACGTCTTCTAGACGTCTCAAAGAGCGTCACAGAATATGCTGTAAAGTGAATTGATAGTATATTTGTGTGTATATTGTTTTGTTTTGGAGGGATTATTATTAGGAGTGTGGAGTAAGGAAACTTGCCCAAGATTTTGCCCTGCCTGGAATTGAACCCAGGTGTCTCGCATGCAAGGCGAGTGCTCTAACCACTGAGCTACAGGACTCCACAAATTGTCCGATTAAAACGACATCAAGCATTCACTTGTAGCAATCAATGTTTTGTTGAAATGCATCCATGTGGTTTGGAATTGCAAATCTATCCAGAAAGCAGCAATTACAAAGGAACCCCATTATTTTAGCACAGCTTTACTTATTATCACTTATCTCCATGGTTAGAGCACACACCTCGCAAGCGAGAGACCTGGTTTCGATTCCCAGCAGGGCAAAACCTTGGGCAAGTTTCCTTACTCCACACGGCTGATATTAATCCCTCGAGAAAAAAAACCAATAATAAATAGGTCACTTCAATCCACGACTGTTTGTGGGACACTGCTGTGTGCAATTGGCTGCCGCATTTCACCCACAAATACAGTCAATTCACTTTACAGTATATAATAATAATAATCCTTGCATTTGATATAGCGCTCTTCACGTCGGGAGGACATCCCAAAGCGCTTCACAGAACACACTGTAAAGTGAATTGACTGTATATTTTTTTTGTGTGGGCGAACGCGGCAGCCAATTGCGCACAGCAATGTCCCACAAACAGTCGTAGATTGAAGATGACCAATTTATTATTGTTTTGTTTTGGAGGGATTATTATTAGGCTCTGTGTGGAGTAAGGAAACTTGCCCAAGGTTTCGCCCTGCCTGGAATTGAACTCAGGTCTCTCGCTTGCAAAGCGAGTGCTCTAACCACTGAGCTAGACTTCTGTTAAGCACTTTGAGATGTCAAGAAGACGTGAAAAGCGCTATATCAAATCCAAGGATTATTATTATTATTATCATTACTTATGTCCTGCACTCCCTGAAAGGTATTGATTAGCTTCCTGCACTAAAAAATATCCAGGGGTTGTGCATGCATTTATTCTATGCATAGAACTTGCCGTTAACATCATGCTGCTTCCTGCTCACATGTATGCTATATGCTGGAATTGCTTCTGACATCACTTTACAACAGAAGACACATCAACAGAAACTTGTGCACGCAGTAAGAATGCTCAAATTATTTTTTTTCCATTACAGTTATCATTTCCACAAATATGCAAATGCTTGCACTTGTCAGCTATCCCACATTTAAAGGAACATAAGTTTAAGTTTTTGTCTTCACATGTACAAAGAGTGTGCACTAGTATATAGAAAATATATTTTAATAACATGCTTGGGACATACTATTACATAACAGTGTAAATATATCCAGACTGTAGGATCTATGCTGACGTATTAACATTGACACAGTTAATACGTTCATCCATGAAATTTGCTTGCATGTGCATCTACCATTTAGATATCATTTAGACATAGGGATTCTGTACAAGATAGAGAAATATGAATGGTTATACATGTATAATGCAATCTTAACAACACCACCAACAAAATTACATTTGTAAAATGTTTTTTACGTCGGGAGTATGACCGAAGGCGCTGGACAGTTGGGGATCAGGACCCGAGCATGGGGGGGTAGGGTTGGGATGAAGGAGGGCAGAGAGGGTTGGAGGGCAGCTGAAGGCACGGTCGAAAAGGAGGGTCTTGAGTTGTGCCTTGAAGGAGGCAAGAGAGAGAGAAAGGCAAAGGGATTGTGGGATGGAGTTCCAAAGGGTGGGGACAGAGAGGTTGAAAGCCTGGCCGCCGATGGTAGTTGTCCTGAAATCGAGGGTGGAGGCAGAGAGATAGAGTATCATCCGCGTACATGTGGAAGTTGACCCCATGACTGCGGATGATGTCACCAAGCGGGAGCATGTATAGTTTGAAGAGGAGGGGACTGAGGACAGAGCCCTGAGCAACACCACACAAGATTGTGTGGGGGCTGGAAGAGCGGAGACAAATTAGAGACGGTGTGAGAGATAAGACCTGAACCATTCAAGGACAGAACCTTGAAGGTTGAGGTGAGAGGAGAGGCGGCAGAGGAGGATGGTGTGCTCCATGATATTGAATGTAGCAGAGAGGTCGAGGAGGACAAGGAGGCAGAGGGAGCCCTGGTCACAGATGAACAGGATGTCGTTTGTCACCTTGATCAGAGCAGTTTCTGTGCTGTTAGCAGCCCAGAAACCCAATTGGAGACCCAATTCTTAAAGTCAAAGACATGGTGCAGTCTTAAGGGGTACGAAATGCTAATATCACTAGTTATTAAGGAAAGATTTATGCAGAAGCTAACACTTGTACAGGGCTTTAAAGAACAAACATATAAGTTTGATCTGAAAGATGATTTTCTTTATCCATTTGCTTAATTTCAAGCGAACGTGATGAGCATGCTGTGTGTGCCTCGTTCTCTTTATGGGAAGCAAAGCTAATTCAAAACCAACTTGAATTGATGCTACTCCCATTGAGAAGAACCTCTGGATTTTAGATAATTATTTACCTGTTGAAATACATCTGCTCCTTCATCATAATCCACTACAGTGAAGAAGAGCTTATTAGAAAACGCAGATGAATATCGCCATGAGTTCGCCAGCACCTGGTACTCCTCATTAGCCTGCCTGTAAGAAAGTAGTGTACCAAAATCAGCTTGGGAAAAGAGCACACTGTATTAATGTTTACACTTCATTTTCTTCGCAGAGTGCTAACTGCATGGATTAAGTGCATGCATCACACAACAATTAGATGCTGGTCCTCACAATTACACAATGTTTCTGTAAGGGAGATAAATTGATATTAAAGAGCCAAGTGATAACATGATCTACAGTCACGTACAAATAAGAGGCACAACACAAATTATTATTCACAGTTTCTCAATAGTTTTCCTCAATCAACCATGGGAAGAATAGCAGTGCAATTGCATTTTAACATGTCTTAAGGACCCCCACCAAACAACCGGTTTTGCGCGGTTCAGAGAGTTAGTCTTATACAAGCTCAATTGTATTGTATCAGATTTATCCTGTCTGAAAATTCTTGGTACATTTAAGCATTCAACTTACATTTTTTTCTGAACAAAATGTATTGACATTCACTGAATAATTACATCTTCACCAATGAGACTATTTACTAATGGTATGCAGCCTACTGGCAGAGCTATGGTATCTCTTCATCAGCCTGCAGACAAGACTTGATATTTTCTCTATGAAAATGTCCCATTAATATATTACTGACAGTATAAAGCCTGCAGATGACAGCAGTGTCTAAACCAGTACAGCATTAACCTGACATCTATTTCAATTTACCCTTACAAGCCGTGTAATTTAAGTCTACTCTAAAGATTCTAGTGTTAGGCCGACATCAAGCCCAGATGAGTTGGTTGTTCTTCTGCTACCAATAATTAGCTTCACTGACAGCTCTAACATGTTTGATTAAAGGCTTTTTTCTTGGTTACAGGTAAAAGTGCATGATGGACCACACGTGACCAAATTTGTCGTAGATGGTGCCATAAATAATCAAATAATAATCCTTGCATTTGATATAGCGCTTTTCACGTCAGGAGGACGTCCCAAAGCGCTTCACAGAACACACTGTAAAGTGAATTGACTATATTTGTGGGCGAACGCGGCAGCCAATTGCGCACAGCAATGTCCCACAAACAGTCGTAGATTGAAAATGACCAATTTATTATTGGTTTTGGTTTTTTGGAGGGATTATTATTAGGCGTGTGAAGTAAGGAAACTTGCCCAAGGTTTTGCCCTGACCTGGAATTGAACTCAGGTCTCTCATTTGCAAAGCGAGTGCTCTAACCACTGAGCTACTGGACTCCACAAAAGTGCACAAGATGTCAAGAAGGGCACTTCAATCATCCTTCAAGTTCAGGTAAAATTAAACATTTTGGACAATCATGATGGGATTTTTTTATGTATTGTTTTCAATGATAAAAGGACGAACAGAATATGGGCAAACATGGAGAAGAATTAGTGAAAAATGATTTACATTTTTTACAATGTAGTAATAATTATTGCATTTGGTAAGCATCTTTCAAGTCAGAGGACATCCCAAAGTGCTTCAAGGGGTATACTGTAAAGTGGAATTTCTGTGTTTTGTGGGCGAATGCAGCAGCTAATTTGGACACAGCAATTTCCCACAAATATTTATGGAGTGAATGGCCAGGACACTGGGAGAAACTCCATTCTCTTTTTGAGTAAAGCCATGAGATATTTAACATTCATTTGATCAGACAGACAGGGCCTCAGTTAAACAACAACAACAAATTACATTTGTATTCCTTTACGGCAGAAAGATGTCCCATGGCAGCACACTCCCAGCACTGAATAGGAGTGTCATCTATACAAAATGCGCCTTGAACTCACAACCTTCTGACTGAGAGGCAAGAGTGCAACCAACCAAGTGAGGCTGACACAATATCAAATCTTTCTCTTCAGCATAATCATGTAAAGTGTTCCAGCTGGGATACAATAATTTGCATTTATTTAGGAGATTTCACATTGGGAGGATGACTCAAAGCGATTCAAATGGAAGCTTGAGGGGGGGGTAAACTACAAAAATTCTAGATAAGACTGTGTCTCCGTTTCCTTGTGGTTCTTCAAAGCGATCTCAAGTCTACACAATATTACAGAATAAAAACAGATACCAACAGACATTTGAGCATATTTGTAGCACTCAAGAATGAGCCACTGAAACCAATGGAGCAAGTAAAACGTACAGATGTGATATCATTAGTGCAATTGCTTAACATTACTAAGGCGTTAGAGTATTTTGTGCCAATTACGATGGATCATTAGGAAAGAAACTGGGTGGTAAATTTTCCCGATTACCAAAAATGAGATAAGTTGGAATATTCCATTGAGCATACAGTTTGTACATTGTGTTTACACTGCACATATGGCGGTGAATTGCTATGATTTAGGCAGAAATTCATTTCCACAAGGTCCAGTATAAATGGTATCTCCATCAGCACGAATCACATTGGAACTCTGCCCAATATCATCTGGTAGAGGGTTTAAGGAACAAGTCTCTCTTAATTTGTATATTGTTTCATACTGAATCTGCCTTTCACCCTCTCAATATCTATGACTTTTGGGCAGGTAATTATTCTTTTGATCTAGGACTAAAAAAAAAATTGTAATCGGAAGGAATGAGAAACTTTATTTTGTTTTTTTAGTGCAAATATACCAGCACTAGATAATATCTATCGCAGTGATCACTTGGGCACCATATCTTGTCACCAAAGCTTCTCCAAGCTTCATAGGATGTAGTTTGTAAGCAGATTCTCGATTCAAAGCCAAAAGGGGCTAATCACTGGGAGGAGTGGATAGTTCCACTTGCAAGGCAAAAGCTTTCATTGCAGACCTAGAACAACAACAACAAAATTAAATTGGATAGCGCCTTTCACTTCGGGAGAACGTCCCAGGGCGCTGGAAACATACCAAGTACCTTTTAAATAAAATCTTGCATTTGAAATAGAGCCTTATCATGCCTTTGCGACCCCAGTTCTCTGCCAGTTATCTATGATTTCTGCAAAGAATCTCTTAGGCGGCAAGAAGACATTCATTCATTATTTTGTTCCATTTTTTACCCAAACCCTCCTCCCAAAAGGCAGAAACTCACTCGCCTCCTTCAAGTCTCAAGACCTTCCTCGTTGAATGTGCTTTCGGCCACACTCCCACCCCCACTCCCCCTACCCTCTAACCCTCTTGATTCCAACCCCCAGCTCTGGTGCAAACTCTTCACTGGCCAGCGCATTAGGACGTCCTTCCAATGTGAAAGGCACTATACAAAGGTAATTGTTGTTGTTGACTCCTGATGATATGAATAGCAGTCATCCAATATCTCACTCAAGTGAGTTTGATCCTATCTTCAGCAATTATGCATTTCCAACCAGGCTTACACTGGGCAGTGATTAGAATTGGAAATACAATATTTCTCCCTTATCCAGTCAAGGGATGTTGCATTCAAAACTGCCTGACTCGGCACATACAAACAATTAAAAGAATCCCTTGTTGTTCTATATTGGTCAGTACCAAACCACATACTTTAATACACTATTTTCACAATAATTTTAACTGATCTCCATTTCAAGAAATGAGTGTTCACAGATAACTACTGAAGCTAATTGTACCTGCCCAGAAATTATTTGTTACTTATAATAATACTAATAATAAAATCTTATCACGTCGTCAATACATCTCAAAGTGCTTCACAGGATATAATAATAATCCTTGCAATTGGTTTAGTGGCTCAGCACGTTGGAAGGACATCTCAATGCACATCACAGGAATTACTGTGAAATAGAGTGACTGTGTATTTGTAGGCAAATGTGGCAGCACAATTGCGCACAACAGTATCCCACAAAAGTCATGGAGTGAGTGACCAATTTTATTTGGAGGATTGTTGGCCAGGACATTATATGCAGTACATATAAATTGTATATATACATATTATATACATGTATCTATCTATCTTTTTACTGTAAAGTGGTTTGCCAGTGTATTTTGTGGGTGAAACTTGCAACTAGAAATTCTCCATTACTGATTATTCCAGCTGTCAAATACTTTCTGGGTAGAGAAATATTTCCTGATGTGTGTGTGCATCCTAAACATTTTCTTCCCAACCAGCAACCTCCGATCCTGCAGCCAGAGTGTATCTGAAAGTGCTGTTCTGGGTTTACTTTCTCTCTTCCATAAACAGAACAACCCCACTATACACACCCTAATTAACACGGGGCTGCTTATAGCACTATATAATAATCCTTGCATCTGACATAGTGCCTTACCACGTCTTCTAGATGTCTCAAAGAGCTTCACAAAATATACTGTAAAGTGTAGTGACTGTATATTTTGTGGGCTATGGCTATGGCGCCTCATTGGAAGTAGGTAGACAAATCGGCTTCCCATACTTACAAAAATGTTGCCTTCAGTTTTGTCGGGTCACCGCTGATGTCATTTCCTGTGCGCTGTTTGCATGACATCATGTAGTGGTAACCCGACGACCTGGAAGATGGCTATTTTTTAAGGACATGTTATGACATGGGGCTTAAGAACACCACGTTAAACGGTCACCTTGCACCATCTTCTGCATTTATCAGATCCCCTCAGAGACTGAATAAAGTCTCTTTTCAACTGAGAAGCCCGAGCTTATCTACTCATTCTGATAAATCATCCCTTAAAACAAAGGGGATCATGCTCATTTTCCTCTGTACTGTCTCTAAAGGCCTAGGTTGAGATGATCAGACCTGTACACAATAAGCCTTGTGATGCCTCATCAGACACCTTGCAACTCAAGCATGGTTTATGTAGGACTGAACTAAAATAGTAGGCAATTTAGTACAGTATTCTGTTTCCTATGTTCATTGCTATCTTACACGTTGTTCACGGTGAGCAAAAAGTCAACACCTACTTGTAGATTTCAACTTCCCCTTTGGCAATTTTTGTCCCATGCAGTGTGGATGTGCAGTAGCTCCCAATTTTATTTCCAATATGCAGTATCTTGCATTTATCTGTATTGAACTTCATATGCCAGGTTTACAGATATCCTGTCAAGCTTTAGTTACCAGGTCTTTCTTGACTGGCTGCTCTGGTTTTACAGTGCTCTTATAAAACTGTAATAATTTTCATTGATTAAGTACCTACTTAAGGGCACCTGTAATTCCCCCCACACAGAAACATTTATGTAATGGATGTCAAGACAGCATTTGTTCATTTCCTCTCAGGTAACAAATCTCAAAGTAGTCATTTAATATTGTTCCTATCTCCTGTTCCATTGGGTCTCTTTAGGGTTTAACTTCCTCCATGACAACTTATAACAGTTATAATATTGGAAGCTTATTTGGCATTATGGTTTGCTACTTAAGTTTTCACATGAATAATAAATGCTTTGATGTCTCAAAAAATCATAAAATATCAATGAAAGATGAAACATAGTGTGAATACTAGCTGAATATTGTAATAATTAAAGTCAAGAAAAGTCATCTTTTTCTTCAATTGACAATGCGATTGCAATCATGACTTCAAACTAAATAAAGCTTTTTTTTATAAAGGTTGCAGATGTACAGCTTTTTGATGCACGAATGAAAAAGGAAACAATTTGAAAAATTGAAATTGCACGATTTGAAAAATCCAAATTCCTACATTGTGAGCTATTATTTTTATGTATTCCAATTTTACATAAAGTGAGCTTAATAATAATAATAATCCTTGCATTTGATATAGCGCCTTATCACATCATTGAGACGTCTCAAAGTGCTTCACAGAATATACAGTAAAGTGACAGTATTTTGTGGGTGAAATGCGGTAGTGAGTTGCACACAGCAGTGTCCCACAAACAGTCTTGCATTGAAAAAATATTTTTTTTGAGGGAATATTACCCCCTGAAAGCAATCTGCCAATTGGCCAACAACTGGATTCCTACTTACTACTAGGTAAACAGAGTCGTGTAGGGTAAGAAAACTTGCCTAAGGTTTCATCCAGCCCGGGAATCGAACCCGGGGCCTCTCGCTCGTGAGGCGTGTGAGTGAACTACTGCGCTACGGTTCTCCACAAGCTTGAACTATACGTCAATGTCATTACATTACTCTAAATTGATAGACTTCAGAAGTTACATCTCACCAACATTTTTTATTGTTTTACTTTATTATATGCTCGTGAACATTGGTCCATTTGTTTTTATTTCTCTCACCTGCAAACTGAGCACTGTCTCTGGGGCTGAAGGGCAGTGAACATCACAATCACTGAGTAATTACGAGGCGGGGCCTTCACAAAGCGTCGGAACTTGTCACCATTCATTCGAATAACTGAACGTCTCGAGCTCCATTCCATCAGCTGCTCCACCTTCTCCGCCAGCAGGTTCTGTCATACAAGGGGAAACGATGAGAATGAATCACCAATTAAAATTCCTTTCATGGACTCAATTCTGTTATTATCTTAACATACATGAATGACATAGGGGCTTCACATAGGATAGTGTCTCAGATTATCATAGAAATTTGCAATGCACAAGAAGGTTATTCAGCTCATGAAATCTGCACCAGCTCTCAGAGCAAAGCTGTTCATCCAATCTCAATCTCTATTCCCCTTTATCTTTCAGTCTTAATCTTTCGTATACCCATCTACAGTACTTCTCTCTTGAAACCCACAATGAACTTTGCCAAAATTGCTTCCTTGGCAGGGTATTCCATATCCTAACAAATATTTGAGTGTTTTTTTTTCCGTAAGCTCCCCTTTTGCTCTTTTTTGTGATCATCTTATAACTATGTGCTCTAATCACTGGTGCCTCCTAGTAATCTTGAAGTGCTGTAAACATTCTGGATGCTGAAACCCAGCTCAATATCTTTACTGACAACATAACATTTGGGAAGAGCAGTGGAGGCAGAAGAAGCAGCAAAAGATTTTTTAAAAGGATCTTTCCAGGAGATCAGTCATTTCCTTGTAAAACATTTTTCATGTTTATCCTACCACCCATGATAGGCCCAGGGGACGTAAAGGGAAATTAATAAAAAGATATCTGGAAAAACATCTTTCCTCAAAGATGAATAATATTACAAGTAATGCAGGAGGCAAAACCATTTGGATTATTCAAGGTAAAATCAATTGCCATGATGGGAAAGTTAATGTCAAGAAGGGTGAGTTTCATTACTCCAAGGAACAATCTTTATCCACGACTCTTCTTCTGTACTTCAAACGTTGACTATGGAAAGCAATCTAGTTGAACATGAATGAAAGGAATTAGGCAAAAATACCAGCATTAACAAAAATTTAAGTTTCTTGAAGGATTCAAAGTTGCAGTACTAATCCATGTACATTTCAACAGGGATATAATAAATTGTTTATCGTGGTTTTCATTGAGCAAACTTATGCTAGCGCAGTTGTTAGTATTGGTTGTCACAGCCCAACACACAATCAGTTCCTTACTGCTGATGAAAACTCTCAAATTAAAACATAAGTATCTTTCAGTGATCACAGTCGCATACATAGTGACTACCAACAGTAAGGAAATGTAATTACTTCACGAGGACCTGACTCCTTTGCTCCCATTTCTCTGCAACTTCCATATTCCAAAATATAACTTCAATAAAAAAATGGGAAAAATCTTGCAGTTGATATAGCGCCTTTTACCTTAGGAGGATGTCTCAAGTGCTTCACAGGATTCACTGTAAAGTGAGGTCCCTTTACTTTTTCAACAGTGCTATGTAATCTTTAACGTCCACTTTAACAGGCAGACAGGACATCGGTTTAATGTCTCACCCAAAGGACTATGCCGCCAACAATGCAGCACACCCCTGGCACTGTACTGGAGTGTCAGCCTAGACTACGAGTTCAAAATCCTGACGTGGAGTTTGAAGCCACAACCTTCCGACTCTGGGGCGAGAGTGCTACCAACTGAGTCGGCCTGATACATAAATAAGAGTAAGTTATGATCCAGGTAGAGTTTCTCCCCACAGGAGTACCATTCACACGAGAATTGATGGATTACCTTTGGTGGCGAAAAAAACAATTGAAACTTCTGACTAAAAAGCACTTGCAATTATATTTTTGGTTTATTCCTAATGAATGTCGGCAGGCTATCTGACTGGGCTTGGAGGCATCACAAGCTGAGCCTGATCCTGTGCTCAACCCACATACAAACAGGTTCATTGTCATACCACATCTCGATCTGGAAAGTGAGAACCAGCTGAAATATGCTCCTCTGATCCCACCCCTTCCATTTCCCCAGTAGCAAACCAGCAGAGACTAGTGAATAAACCCAGATCGCTTCCTGGTCTGGTCAGCAGTGCACTGTGTACTGCAATTACCCACTGAACCATCAGCAAAGCCTAGAAATGACTGTCCTAAACTCTGAAAATGTTCTGTGCAGGTGGAAGACTTGCAGCCCACTAAATACAGGTCAGGCTTTTGCGTAAGCCACTAATTAATTGATGAGTATTGAATATTATCCTTCTAACGCAATAACAATTCAAACCACTGAAGACTACACAATTACAATTTTGCAGATCACAGCAGACTAATTGAAACATCTGCTTGAATAAGTTACTCTTAACCAGCAAAAAAGTACTGTCATCTTGTACCTAAGATTTATTTCTGGTATTAAGTATCATTATTATTCTCCCACAAAATACACAGTCAATTCACTTTACAATATATTCTGTGAAGCGCTTTGAGACGTCTCAATCATGTGATGAGGTGCTATATCATATGCAAGGATTATTGTTATTATTTTTATTATTACGTGAGTAGCTGTAATAAATTCCACAGTGCTTCCTCCACTTTGATTACCTCTTCACTATCCATTTTTGGTTTCTCTTACCTCATTGTAGGACTATATTATTATTATTATACTGAAAAGACATCGGCAAGAGCAAATGCCTCGAGGAGAATTCTGTATCTGATAAAGAGACACCCTGTTCCTAGCGTGTATGGATAAAAATGTTTTTATATTCACTTACAAGATTAGATTACTTTAAATGAGAATCCTAGCCGTTAAATTAGATATGTACACATTAAAACACAGCATTAAGGCCATAAAGTGCAAAGAAAATGTAATTTCTTCCAAATGTATAATGCACAGATCATAATTAGTATCAAGACCCCAAAAAGCACTTAGAATTTATAACAGTGCCTTGCTGTACACACTTCAATATATGCTCTGGTCAGACTATACCATTAAATACTGCGTAATTTTCGGGTTACCGCAACATAAGGGGGCTGTCTAAGCCCTGGGGGCAATACAGAGGATAGCAATGAGGGGGATCCCCAGTGTTAGAGGAATGAGCTAAGACGACTCAGAGAGGACCTCATAGAAGTGTATCACATTTTAAATGGGATTGAATACGTAAACCAAGTAATACTTTAGGAAGTATCATGACTGTTTGTGGGACACTGCTGTGTGAAATTGACTGGCTCGTTACGTCCACAAAATATACAGTCAATTCACTTTATAGTATATTCTGTAAAGCGCTTTGAGACGTCTCGAAGACATGAGGCAGAGGCCAGGGTACTAGACTCATTTAAAAGGCAGCTTGATGTGGTGCTGGGGGGATGGTAGGGTACATGGTCTGGAGGAATGAGACTGGTTGAGCCAAGGAGACTTCTTCATTCAATCCTACTATGTGACCTTGTGTGATCGGTGGCTGATCTTTTAGATTACTCACCCGTCACCTGGAACTCTCTCACTCTACCTCTCCATCTTGCTCCCTCTCTACCATTTTTCCGGTCCTGCCTTAAAAAGTATCTCTCCAACCATTCCCATGTTCACCTCCTCCTTCTCCCTCTCCCTTGCATGGCACACAACTAGTCATTGTCAAGCATTCCATATCATTTGCACAGGGCATATATAAATGCAAGCTGCTGTTGCAAACTTCCTGGAGAGCAACACAGCATGAACTGTGTGAGAACATGACTTCTATCCTCCTGCCCACAGTTTGGACACCCATTCCAGAACACGCCTGTGATTATCTCCCCCACACACACTACTGGCACCCTTGACCCCCACCCCTCTCAAATCCAGCTTGGGTGCAAACCCTCAACTGTCCAGCACCTTAGGATATCCTCCTGACGTAAAAGGCACTATATAAATGCAATCTGTTGTTGTTGTACACTCTGGATGGAAGAATGAGATGTACAGTAGTAACACTTTCAACATGGGCAAGTGCAAGAATAGAACGCAATTGACAAAGTATAGAGGAAAGATACATAACTCATTAAAAGTTGTTTTGCAGGTGCAAAAAACAATCCTGCAGGCTAATGGATAAGTCTGGGCTTTATCCCAACTATAAACTATAAAAATATAAAAGCCAAAAACTACGACTGAGGTTCCAATATAGCTCAGGGCAAACCTTAATTGAAGTGGTTTGTTCACTTTGGGGTTTTATGACAAACTTGCCTGTGGTATTGTGTGTGCATTTCTATTGCCTGTGATAAAAACATCTGTTCTGCATAGCATCATGTGGAGAAACGTCCAATAAAGCGCATTGTGAAAGAGACTGTGCTCCTAATCTGAACAATTGTATTCCCTCACACAAAATTAACTTGTAGTTTTGCAGATAAAGACCCTTTTTGGCACTATATTAAAAATTAAATATTTGAATTTGCAAAGCCATTGGATTTGTATTTACCTCAAAATGCATTCAGTACTGAACAACATGTTGTGGTTTACACTACATTAGCATGTTTTAAGAAATCAGCAGGTATAAATATCCAGTGCAATATTTTTCAGCCAATTGTGCACAGCATTGTCCCACAAACAGTTGTGGATTTGTAGGCGAACATGGCAGTCAATTTGCCATTTGCACACAGCAATACCACATAAACAACCAGAAAACGTTTGTACAATTTTATCTGGGAATTGTTGGTGGTATATTTCATCAAGGAGTGAAAAATACAATAATTGTTGTATGAAAGCTGTTATGAAATGTTGCATTTTCCCCAAATATTCTTAGAAAGGCCATGGAATTGAACACTCCTCCACTTTTCCCCTCCCTTCCCGACAGCTTCAACTAAATATTTTAATTTGAATAGTTCAGCACTTACCAAGATTGTGTTGCAGTACAGCAGTGTGTGACGCAGCTGCTTTTGCTATCGAGGTTTACTCACCAGCGAAGTCGATTTCCCGCTACATGTCGCTTCCGCAATCCCCAAATTCACCGCACCACATGTGCGTGATCGGAGCCGCTCCAGCCGCAGTTACAGCATCGAGCAAACAGCGCGAAAGGCCTGGGTTAGTACCCGAGGACTGTTTGTAGCGTGCAAGGCCCATTGTGGCGGGAAGTGCGGAAAACTTGTGCCCACACTTTTATATTGGCCCAGGCGATAACCCTTTGATGATAAACATGAAATCATGAGGACAGCCCCCA